TAAACCTTAAACTCCAAGCCATAAGCCCGAAGCCCTAAGCCCTAAGCCCTAAGCCGATAGGAAGTATATAGGGAAAGCAAGCTTCAGGGTTTAGGGATTAGGGTTTAGGGTCTAGGGTTTAGCGTTCCACCCTCAATTTCAGCACTCCCACCCCCCCCCCCCTCTCTCTCAAGTACATACCCCACGGTTGTTAACCATAAGATTCGCCATACCTGTTCAGGGCCTAAACCCTAAACCCTAAACCCTAAACCCTAAACCCTAAACCCTAAACCCCTCGAAACAACCCAACTCCGCACAGCTCTGTACCCTGAACCCTTAGCAACCCGGGTGCACATTGTAAGTTGCCACGGCAGGTAGTGAGTCGGCGCAGCCTGGCGGCCCTCGGCGTGCCTGTGCTTCGGAAGGGGCGGGTAGGGTTTAGGGTGTTGCACGGCCCATTCAAGAGACCCAGCTTTTTCTTTGTGTCCTAAGCCTTATAAGCTACTCAGAAACGTAGCTGACAAGAGTTCGGGACACCTTCAGGAAAATTTGACGTCTGTCTTCGCTGAGTTCGCGCTTGTAGTTACTGGATGTGCGCGTACCCTTTTGTACTTGCACCACGCACGTGGCAGGGCTATGCTTGCCGCACTCTGACTCCGTCTGGAAGACGGTCCATTAACATAACGCCCTAAACCCCAAGCCCTAAACCCTAAACGCGCAAGCAACCCGAAGTCCGAGAACGTATGCATCCAGGCTGCCCTCCCTGACCTTGACGCAAGCCCCAACCACAAGGGCCAGGTTTCCGCGCAAAACAAGCTTGCGGTTTATTTGGCGTAGGAATACTGGCAAATAGTATTCCCTTATGGCTCCTATAAAATGTACTACAATAACCCCCAGAGCCCTAGAACCCTGTATTAGCTACTTTCTTGTCTTGAAAGCGCTTTGACAGAGCTTATTTGGAGATCGTTTGCAGAGGCTGTCAATGGCCCACCTCTAGAATGGGCATGCTGAGCTTCGAAGCCTTCTAATCCCCTCCCCCTAAGATTAAACTTCCCTACACGCTAATATTGCATACCCCCCCCATGATAGTTATATCATAAGTATATTGGGGGATCTTAAAACTAGGTTTAGGGTTTAGGGTTTAGGGTTTAGGGTTTGGGGTTTAGGGTTTAGGGGGTAGGGGGGGTTTACGATTAGGGGGACGGGAATATGGTGCTCCGAAGCGATGCTCCGCGCTGCCATGTTGTAGAGCAGACGTGCCTCGGTCTGTTTTGGGGCCTGGTTTGAGGAAAAAGGGCACTCTTTGATTCCTAGGCTACTCTTGGGGCCCCCTAGACCCTAAACCCTTAAACCCTTAAACCCTTACGCCCTTAAACCCTTAAACCCTTAAACCCTTAAACCCTTAAACCCTTAAACCCTTAAACCCTTAAACCCTTAAACCCTAAACCCTAAACCCTAAACCCTAAACCCCAAGACGAGGCAGCTAACTACGCCCCAATCGTTAAGCAGTGGTTCTACAGCCGACTTCGGCTCCCAGGAAGGGCGTGGCCTGTTTTCTTGAGGTGTGGGCCCCTTTTCGGGTGCTCTTTCTACATGCTTCGTTCGGGTTTAGGGTTTACAGTTTAGGTTTTAGGGTTTAGGGTTTAGGGTGGTCGAAGGCTTGGGGTGAAAAGCGTGAGAACTTGTCTTGTCTTTTCTCATGCCGTCTTGCAGGCCAAGGCAAGTTTTTAGGTGCTGTCGGGTGGGCTTTAGGAATCCGAGTTTTCGCCGCGTACTGCAGGAGCCAAGCATCATAAAGAAGGTTTCACCAGAACGAGCACTGAACGCTAAACCCTAAAACCTTAAACCTTAAACCCTAAAACCCTAAACCCAAGGCAACACTACAAGTTTCGGGTTTGAGCTTCAGGACCAGTCCGGAGTGCAGTTTTGATGCGGCATTCACCAGGGTTCAGGGGCGTAGCCTCGAAAGATTGCTGTGCGGTTTATAGGGTTTTTAGGGTTTAGAGTTTAGGGCTGAGGGCTTAGGGTTTGGGCAAACGGTTTTGAAGGCCAAAGTTTCAGGGGTGGTTGATCTGGACAAGGGTCTCTCTAAGGATACGGAGTCCTAGATGACGATCGCACTGCCCAGAAGAATCCTGAACCTGAAGCCACCACTTGAACTGGCCAAACTAAGCAAGTACCCCGTGCCCCTGGCTGGCCCAGCGCCTGGGTTTGTGGAGTAAGTTTAGGGGTTAGGGTTTGGGGTTTAGGGTCTAGGAATAACGGCTTCTTGTCAGTATATCCGTCATCTTCGATGTTAAGCTGGATGTGGGGCCCCGCTCATGCATTGGGATGTTCCCCCCGTATACGAACAGTCCTTAATAGAGGTTTGGGGTTTAGGGCGTAGGATTTAGGGTTTAGTATTTAGGGTTTAGGGTTTAGGGTTTAGGGTGATTATAATGAGGGGTACTATATTCCCTTTTGAGGACTGTCAGCATAAAGGGGAACATCCCAACTAGAGACCCTAAAACCGTGAACGCCGAACCCTATCTGGTGACCAGAGCATAAGGGCAACCATGCCATGGTCTTTCAGGTTTCGGCCTTGAGAGGTCTGGGTTGTGGTTAATATATGTTAATATTTTAGCAGAGTTCAGGGTTGAGGGTTTAGGGTTTAGGGTAAGGAAACCAACCCTTAGATGTTTAGGGTTTAGGGGGTTTAAGGTTCGGGGTTTAGGGCTTAGGGTTTGGGACGTGGGGTTGAAGTGCTCACGGTTTGGGGTGCAAGGTTGGGTTTTGAGGTTCAGGGCGAGGGGCTTGGGAGCAGAGGGCCCTTGTGTAAAAAGCCACATGAGCAAGGTTTCCTAGTACCAGCGTTCTACAGCTGAAGGGGGGGGGGGGGGGGGGGGGGTGCCCAAAGCCCTGAACTCCTTAAAGGAAACCATAAAACCGAAACCCTAAACCCGAAACCCTAGACCTTAAACCCTAAACCCTAGGCGGTGTCGGCTGTGGGTGTGCGACCCTCGCCAGCCAAGGCCGGAGACTTTTGCTTGCCTAGGGTTTAGGGTTTAGGGTTTAGGGCTAGGGTTTAGGGTTTAGGGTTAAGAGTTTAGGGTTAGAGGTTTAGGGGTTTAGGGGTTTAGGGGTTTAGGGGTTTAGGGGTTTAGGGGTTTAGGGGTTTAGGGGTTTAGGGGTTGTGGGGTTTTGGGGTTTAGGGGGTTTAGGGGTCTAGGGGTTTAAGGGGGTTTAGGATTCGGGGTTTAGGGTTTAGGGGGTTTAGGGTTTAGGGCAGACTGGCCTACTTGAGGCTGGGTGGACGACTTGAAGCTGGGGTACCTAGACTAAGGCATGACATAGGCTGCACGTCCTTTGGCTAAGTCCCGAACCGAAACTCCTGTTGGGCCCTAAACCCTATACCCTACATATACTTCAAACCCTAGACCCTAAAAGTGGTGGTTGTTACAAAAACTTGTCCCCAAAAAAGATCAACAAAGGTAGGGTCGGATTGTAGGTAAGGATTCCCCTCTTGAAGGGATTAGCACCCCAACGTCCATGTTGTTACAAGGACCTCGAGAACCGGAGGGTTTAGGGTTTGGGGTTTAGGGTATGGGGTTTAGGGTTTAGGGTTTAGGGTTAGGGTTCAGGGCAGGGGGGGGGGGGGGGGGAAATGGAACATTCGATTCAGGTAGCCCTAAACCCAGAACCCGAAACCTTCTAAACCCTAAAATTCCTAAAGCCAAAGCCGTGCGTTCATGGAATCCAAGTCCAGAGGTCGGGTAGCTGGTCCCATGACTAGTGACTAGAGTATTAAGTTACCAGAACCCTTATAAGGACTTCATTACTAGGTTCCTGGAAGTCTGGGGTCATGCTTCGGGGTTTTCCGTTTGGGGCTCAACCCAAAAACCCTAGACCCTAAGCCTGTTAACCATTCGAGGTGCTCGTACTGCGAGGGTCCATATGTCGTACTTTTCTACGGAATGAAGGACCCCGAAGCCCTGTTTAGTGTCGGTAAGGTTCAGGGTCTAGGTTCAGGGTTTAGGGTTGTAGGGTTTAGGGTAGCCCCCTTAGGAATCTCTGAAGTTGTATCTACATAAAACCCAAGGGTTTGTTTGAATATTAGTGTTGTTAAGGTTCTAAGGGGGGTATAGTATAGGTGTGGTTTTGCGTTACCGAATTCCACAAGAGCACTGCACATGGACCCCCTGAATTATACTAACTGAGTCCCCAACGCGCAACCCCCCCGCCCCCCGGCCCCCCCCGACCCCCCCAATTCGTAAGCCCTAAACCCTAATCCTCAAACACTGGGCCGTGAACCCAGCCCCAAGCCCAAAACTCGAAAGCCTTAAATCATAACCACTCAACCCCACATACCTAACCCTATAAGGATCCATGTGCATACATATCTATATATATATATAAGCAGTATATACTTGGGCCTTAGGGGGGTTCCTATGTAGTAGCCATACTATATAGGCGCATGGATCCTTCGGGCACGTCTTTTGTAACCTGCACACTGTAGCCCGGCCCGAAACCTTACATCCGAAACCCTACATGCCCCAGCCCTCCGGATCCCTAAACACAAAAACCCACAGCTTTGCACACGAGACCCCTGTGAGGCCTGCCAATTGGGGGGGGGGGGGGGGGGGGGGGGGGGGAGGGGGTTGTTAGGAAAATAAATAAGGGACCCTAAACCCTAACCCTAAACCCTAAACCCTAAACCCTAAACCCCCTAATTTGCGGAACGCGTCGGGCTCCGCAGCTCTTGTTGGACCAACAGCGGGGTTTCTGGCCTTGAGGGCTTTCGGGATTCGAGTGTTAGTTTTCTGCTCGGTTTCTAGGGGTCATTCAGGGTTTAGAGTTTAGGGTTTAGGGTTGAGGGCTTAGGGGGTTCCACGTGCGAGGACGCCAGGGTTTAGGGTTTAGGGTTTAGGCGTTAAGGTTTAGGTCTAGGGTTAAGGGTTGAGTAGTTCTATCTCCTTTTAACCCAAAGCCCTGAAACCTAAGACCCTAACCTTTAAAGCGGGGCCACATGCCCAGCGTGGACG